CCTCTGGTAGTCAGATCTCTGACAATACCAGTGAGACTAGAGCAGTTTCTGTTTCTTCTGGTTTCTACCTGCTACTATCGTTTTTCTGATTTAAAACATATCTAATGGGTGTCAGGTCTGCTTAGGGTGTTTATGTGTCTCTACATGAGCACATGGATGTAAATGGAAAACCCATACATCCTGAAAAAGCCCATGACACGCTAATAGAGCCCATGAGCAAAAAGCATTCCTACATTACTGTCTGCACATTCCCTTTTACCAGAGGCTCAGGAGTGCCCAGCCATTTCAACAGATGGCATCATGACAATAATTGTATTCTCAACATTACAGCTGACAGCATTTCTTAAAGAAATCTGTTCATAGTGATGTTAAGGACAAGGCCAGCTTTGGCCCATGAATTGCTCTAGACAACTCAAGTATAAAAACTAGAATTGCTAGGTAATAAAGCGTAACAAAATTACTGTCTTTGTGGGATATAACACAGATAAATCATATAAACAATTTTGTCCAGATACTAAGTGTAAATTATGGCAGAGTTATTCTAGTTATTTTCAATTACAAACATCAATCATCTCTTTTGATCAATACACAATCACAGACCTGATGAGAGTGCTAAGCATCTTCCTTTCAGGCTAAATGGAAGAAGAAATGAAACTCATGTTTACAAAAGGGTAGTGAGGAACGACTGGAGGCTACTGCCCAAGAAAATGGTTTTAATTACAACGTATGAGCCAGACTAAGCCCTGTGGTCTAAAGAAGCTGGAGATTTCTTTCAGTGACTTGAATGAAAAACATGACTGTGGGATTTATGCAGCTATGAATGTGTCCCTAGGGAAAAGCAAGGAGAATCCTTTCTTGTCAGGCTCGCTTTCCACGGTACAGAACGAGCTGGAGGAAGACCTGGAACTAGTGAAGAAAAAAAACCCCTGCTCTGGTTTCTGTCTTGGCAGGGCAACAGAGCTTTGTGTACACCATTTGTGATATGTAGGATTATACCAACGAAATGTTTGTATTCTTAGAAAATTATTTTTAATTTTGGAAGAAATTCTGAATTCTCTTAGATCAGCACCCAAATCTTTTAAAAATATTTGTCCCTTTGCCTCATGCTGACTTTTCGTCACCATACTGACCAAAAGCTAGAAACATGACTAATGAGTTCAGGGTTGCTGTAGTTTGGCAGATGTCCAGGTAAGAGCTGATAAATTTATACTTTTGAGCTGTCTTTAACATCTCAGTTTTAAGTGAAACTGCCTACAAGGAAACTCAAAGAGTGTTGGCTTTCTTAAGCACAAGTTGAATCCCAGGGACTTTTATGAGACAAGTGAAGTTGAAAAAAAGCATGTACAGTTAAAAAAGAATACTTTTACCATGTAGTCACGATTAATAATCTCTTACACCTTCTTTGTTAAATAAAGCATAATGTGTTTAAATTCTCTGGGAAAAGGGAGCTGTCCGTATGCTTTTGCATACTATTTCTTCTCATAGAAAGCAAGTCAGGATGACTGTGCTTTCAGTGAGATTCTGGGAAAGAGCATTCGCTGGACATCTGCAGAGCCACCCTGAGAACAGGTACCTGGAGTCACCCCTGAGTGCAGTAGCAGGTGCCGAGTAATTGGTCTCCAGGTGTCAAGTCTGAGCCTGCTGAAAAATCCTGCCTGGGCTCTGCTTATTTTCCAGAGGCTTAAAACATTCTGAGACCCTCTAAAAGCAACCTGCGGCCTGACAGGAAAAGATGTGCAAAGGAGACCGTTCTGCAAAGGAGATGAGAGTATCTAGGTTTGCAGATGTCTGAAGCATGTCTCTTTTCCTCTAGCCTCAAGATACCAGGTGAATTTTGAGGTTCAAATATTTGGCTTTGCATACAGGGGTGGTTCTGTAGGGTCTGCATCTGTTCATTTTGTAGCTGGAAAATCATCCCCCCCCACCTAGCAAATCTCACTACTCACACAGCAAAGAAATGTCTTTTGGCACAGACTGGTACACTGTCCGTAATACTATATAATAGCTAATGTAGAATGTGGGGCGGGTAACAACATCCCATCGCAGATAGTAAAGAGGATAAGAGAACAATTAATACCACTATCACTCTCTAGCCAGCGATGCCCAGCATGGAAATCCAAGGCATGCTTGCCAGAGGAACGGTGCTGAAGGAAGAGTGATGACTCCAACAGAGCCCTCAGTATCCATGGGAGATGCAATGATGAAGTCTCCTAAAGGTGACAGTTGGAAAGGAATAGTTGGGCTTGCTCAGTCCAAACATACCTGCTCTAAAATCCGTCTTCTGTTTATCAGTTTTCACGCGCTGTCTCTATGTCGTGCCAAGGACAGGCTGAAAGCTGCAATATAAATAAGATGTCTGTTGGAGAAATGTGTTTCTTGTTACATGCTTTATGAAGCAAAATCAAGTCAGCAATTGAAGTGATGCTCTGGACAGCGCAGGTAACATCTCCCAGATGAGCACTGAATGCTTTGTTTACATTGCAAAGGCTGAGAAATGGGACTCACATGAAACAGGAAACTGAGCCGAAGAGAAGTGATTCGCATTCTAAAAATGGGATTTTTTTGTCTCACTTCCAGAACAATGACAGGAGTGAAATACTGCATTTTCATCAAAAGAGGATAGTAGTGTGCAATATACCACTGATTTCATTAGCCAAAGAAGATTGCTTCTGGTTTTGGTATTCCCTTGCAGCCAGTAATGTGAGGGACAATTAGAATACCTCAGAGATTAAAAAGCTTGGTGATGGTGTAACCAATAGTGTGAACATTGGTTGATTTATCCCCTCCACAATGATGGAGAAATTCACCAAAATTAATCCTGACTAACTATCAAGAACAAAGACAAGTTTCAGGTGTATCTCAATTGTGGTTTTTTTTTTTTCCTTTTTTTAAACTTCTATTTCCAGTTTTGTGTGCTTAGATATTGCAGTTGGCCAGGAAACACTTTCATTTCAGTTGCTTTTGACTTGTGTATAACATTTTGTTGGTTTTAAAAAGATGGCTCAAGCTGGGCTGATTGATACACTGTTACTCCAAGAGCAACAGATTTACCCTCTGTGATGTGTATTTTTAGGTATAAATTGTAAAAGTCAAATACGTATTTCTAATTAACCATATGTGAAATCAACCATGTTGAATTAGGGGGGCATTTCACTGGATGCCTATAATTAATCAAAATACGAAAGACAGATAAACTAACAAACATAAGGTGTTAGCGCAGTGAGAGGATCTTTATTTATAAGCTGCATTTAGCACCATTTAATTCATGAGTTCAACTTCTACTGACCATCTGTCATAGCTGCTGTCAGCTTCACAAGCCTCCTGAACTTTGCCAGTCCTGGTGTTAGACTGCAAAAGGTGTTGCACCCACCCAACACTATCACATGGAGCTATAGACCATATTGTGGCGGCATGAAACAAAGAGTGGTTTCGGCAGAAGAGTCTGCCCCTGTGTTTCAGTTTTTCTCCTTTTTTGGATTCTCCTTTAATTGGATTAACTGGACTAAAGTCACTAGTGCTTGAAGATGTAGCATCAACTTCAGTGTTAGATGTCTTCTTGGTAAACAGAATTTTCTTAGTGAGGGCCATTTGAGACATGGTGGGAACTAAACACCTGTTGCAAGATTGTACTCTTCTTGAACAAGGTTCATGGCAAGACCAGGTGAAATGCGTTCGATATTTCAAAAATACCTTGTGTGGTATAGAAGAAGTCAGGAGCTTTTAAAATACGGATTATAAATACCTTCTCAGAAATCTGGAAAGCAGGTAAGGCAAGGGATGCTCGTGAGCTGTATCCACAACTTTCGTCAATGCAGCCTAGCATAGGTTATTGCAATAAAGTTCAAAAGATATTTTTCAAGTATTAATTCTTTTTCAATTCCCTTTAAGAAATGTGGGGACATAGTAGTCCCTATCAATTCCCCTCTTTGTATTCAGCTCACAAACTTACATATTTTTAAGGCCTGTGGATCTTGACATGCATATTTGTCGCATTGACACAGAGGTTGTTGCTGAGACTTCTTTCCATAGTCTTCTGTGACTATCCAGCAGCTCTGGGAAGAGGTTTGTTAACTTGTGTTCTCACCACTGTCTCCACACTGGCTGAGGAGGAACTGTTCTCACCTCTGTTGGAGAGTATGTGTGTCTGTTGTTGGTACAGCTGAGCAGTATAACACCATTTTGCTACAGGGTGCAGAACACTATGTTTTAAATTCCTGTTTGCAAACTTTCTTGATTTCTTGAAAATTCATGTTCTGGGCTAACATTTTCAAGTGTATTTCAGATTTGGCAACGAAAGAGAGTAAAAATTAACAAGAATCATCTCTTACGTATGCGCAGATACAGATAGCACGTTATGTGGTATCACAAATGTGGTATCATTTAGCAGCTATCTTTTTTTACAAGATTGCAATAATTTGATTATCTTAATCCTGTTATTTTGACATTTCATGTAAAATTATTGGGTAGATCACAGCTTCCTTCATAGTATTGGTGACCTTCTGTTACTTGTATCTGATTTGCTTATTATCAAGAATAAGACTTGGGTACACTTTGCAAACAACACTGGTATGTGCTATGCTTTCTATCTCTCTTCAGTGTTCTTTTCTTCTACTGTCCTAGTGAACATAGAAAATACTTGTGAAATAAAAAAGACTCATGGACTCCATAGGAGCTAATACCTAGGGAATGTATAGTAGTCTGAGGAGGCGCATGAATTTGAAGGTAGCTTTTGATTCAAGCTGTTTGAGTAGACACATTACTGAGACGTTTCTCTCTTCCTGATGGCAAATCTCTCATGAGAGTTGTGGTGGTGAACTGGACGCAATCATTCCTCAAAATCTGCTCCATTAGCATAGATCTCAAGCTGGGCCAGCCAATACAATTTGATTGTCTATACCATGCCTAGAGTGTTTGCCTACATAGCTTCAAGCATGCCATCTCCTGGATTTCCCCACCTACACTGAATGCATATGAATTACAGGTTGGTTCCTGCACTACAGGTGGACTTGTGGCAGCCCAGCAGCCCCTTCCACATCGTTGAAGGTACTGTCACCGACGTGCGAGTATCACAGAACACATCCCAAAGTCTGCTGCCGTACCTCCAGCAAGCAAACATCCAGTACACGTAAGCCCACGCTTCGCTTTCTGTGCCTCACTCTAGAGATCTGGCCTCCAAGGCAGGTCTGCGTCTACCAAGCCAAGTGCGCTTGAAAATGCATTCCATATCATAGCAATTAGACTGGCATACAGCTAGTCATTGCCAAGAAAACAACCATTTTAATGGGAGAACAGAAAATCTCCCACAGGCAGGCAGTTTTAATTAAATGTCCTCCTTTGGAGTCAAGCTTAAGTGTTTTCAATGTATATGAAATCACATCTGTTGAGAAAGGGACAGTAATTGTTAATTCTATAGCTTGCTTTGCCTTTCTGTCTGTGTTTAATAGGAGCACGGTTTGTTTACAAGTGTGCTGCAAACTCGGAGGCAAGCCTCTTTCATGAATTATAAAGGCATGTACTGGTTCTGTTTTACAACTCTCCATTCCTTGTGATCCAACGCAAGTCATACAGAACAAACACACGCTAAGAATCACACATCATCTACAGTGTTCCTTAACAGCATTCAAGACAGTTTTGGAGTATACTTATTGTTTCGTATTTATAAATATGATATACTAGACAAGAGTAATGATCTTGCCATTAAAGCCTTTTCAGTGAGATGCTGAAGCATCTGAATAATCAGCTGATGAGTTATTTGAATTCTCAAACATTTGCTGAATAAAGCTCTACATGAGGCAATTTATATCTATTTCTCAGTGAGAAAAGGATGACACAAATCATATTGTATAATATATGTACTCTTACCAGAATTCCATTTTTATCATAAGAATGGTCTCTTACTAATTTGTCATTCTACAAATACAAAAACAAACATAAGGAAATTAATTACGCAGGCCTGGTAGCTGAAGTTCGGAGTAACTTTCACATGGGTTCAGCACTGCTTCAGTTTTGTTTGTGTTTAAAAATGAGATGGGAATTTCTGTAATTGTTTTCCTGTGCTTACACAAAAAACGTTCCCTAATTACTCACCCCGGGAGTTGTATTTATGTCGGCTGCTGTTCCTGCTCACAGTAATCACCTTTAATGAAATGACAGAAGGCCATTTTATATGTATTATAAACACTCCCTGTGCTTGAAGACCTTTATTTAGGTTGCAGAGCAGAGTGTGCAAGGGCAAGGACTGCTAGAGCGAAGGGTCTCTGCAGTTCACCTGAATCAACGTGCTACAAATACTAGGACAACATTAGATTAATTTTCCACAGGGAAATGTCCTCTCTGACATTTGTCACACAAGCTCTGCACCATTAGAAGGAAGCCGGGTGGCACCTTGTCAGCTGCAGACTCTTTCTTTGCTCTCCCTCTCCATCTCCCTGCTGCCTGTTCTGGACTCCTTGTCTGCTGGGCTCCAGCCATCAGAAGCAAAACCCTGCAAAGCCTCAGACAAGCACGTGCTTGTCCTGACAAGCCTCCTGAGATCTGTAAGTCCACAAGAGCCAAGCCATGAGAGGAGCGAGAGCTCTAGCCAGGGGCTGGCTGGGCACAGCACCGAGCTGAAGTGCAGCTCCACAGACAAGGGCAGAGGCACCAGGAAGGTTTAGTATAGGTCTTTTTCTCATGGCTGTTTTTCACATTATTTTATTTATTTATTTATTTTATTTTTTTCACACACTATTTGCAAAGGAGTTAAATTGCCACATCCCTTTTGGAACTGGAAAATGTGAGGGAAAGAGTCTGACAGGGTGACACTTGCCTAAGTTATGACAAATTTCTAAAGCAGGAATTATTAAGCAGCTCCAATAATGAACAAGTTGACCAGCCCTTGCCTGTATGACAGGCTTATCAGTCCCAGTGTTTGACTTTATGACAAGAAGATGGTCATGAAAACAAGTCAGGCATCAGAGAAACTCTTGCTGCATCGACTTGCCTCGGTTGTAAGTTCTCTGGAAACGAAGCCACTTAGGTTGTATTCAGACCTGAGGGACTTAAGAGACTTTGTGTTATAAGAACACATAGTACACAGTCATTTAAGAGTAAAGAAAAATTATCAAATCTCATTTGGAATACAGACACATAAACGATCAGGAGTTGTGAAATTAAATCTGTTATTGTACAACTGAACAAACAGAGCTTGATCCTGGTAGGTGCTTACACTAATCAGGATTCAGCAAAGCAGGCAAGTAATTTTTTAACATATTAGATGTCCTAATGACTTTAATAAAAACGACTGCTTTAACTACAGGCTTAAATGCTTTACAGTACTGGTCTTAGAGTGTATAGCGCTTCACAAGTCAAGACTATAAGCCCTTAGTTCGCATAATGGAAGTTGCTGATGTAGAGGAATGTAATTCCTCATTATACAATTACTTCATTAATACATTTGAAGATGGAGATAACCTTTACTTTGATAACCTGATTATATGTAGGTAGACCTGTTATCTTTGAGGTACCTGCTGCACAGCTGAGTTAGGATTTCCTTCCATCTTTTTCCAATCATTGCAGCTAATGCTTATAAAACTTTAAAATGTTGCATGTGACCATCGTTTTACAGGAACAATGAATTAGTGATATGGTGATGACACATTGCCATGCTTGAGAAGAATGTGGTGCACAAGGATGGCAGTTTTACAGTGATGTAGTTACTGATGTCACTGACAATATTCCCAGCTCCTGATACTGTGTGATGGAAAGAATAGGTGCCTCAACTTCTTCAATATAATTCTTTTTAGTTGTTTTCTATATTATATTTTTAAATTTGGTTTTGCCATAACATAGGAAAGTTTTCAGCTTACACCACTGTTTCTGCATTTTGCTCACTGCAAAGAATCACTTTTTATGCACACATATTTAATTTTCACTTAGTATTGTTTCCTGGTTTTCCTGAGTTATTTTAAAATACCTGGCAGACAACTATTGCAGAGTAGATAATGTAAACAACAAACCACACTTAAGGTTTTTTCTTTGTTCATTGTTTGTTGTGTTTCAGACAGAATGATAATGCCGCCAAGTTCTTCATTTTTTTGTTTTGCTTCTACAAACTGTAGGTATATGTAATGTTCCATGCCAGTACAATAACTCCTGAGGGAATGTATGTGAATGTTTTTCTAAGCCTAAAAAGATTTTTCTTATGGTTTTGAAATCAATTTTTGAAGATCCATGATCACTTCATATAACTGGATTATAAAAGAAGACGGCAAATGCTGCTCCATAAAAAAATGAAAGTGGCTTCTTCTTCACATTTGCTACATTATTTACATCCTTCTGTTTTATTCGCTTAACAAGCTTATTATGTTTTTTGAAGGCACTGTTACAATTCAAAGCATCTGCAGTATTTATTTGGCAGCATATATTCAAATAAGCTTGAAGCACTCTATTGTCAAAGTAGTAATGTGAGGATGGTTTCACTCCTGCTATATTTTTTCTAAATGTGATTGTTGTTCTGCTTTAGCCTGTGTGTTCTACTAGTTTTTCAGTAATATCACTGTCTTTTTTTACCTAGGATTCTCATATCAGACCTACAGAAAGCAATAGAAAAGCAAACTGGACTGAAGTCATCGAGGAATCGAAGGTCCCTCTCTGGGTATAACTATGAAGTGTATCACTCCCTGGAAGAAGTATGTGAAAATTCATATTGTTCCTTTCATCCACTACACTGTTGTTTTTAATAAGGCTAAGATTTCATTCTCTCTACAAGTTACAGTTACCTGTTCATCTTCAGAAGTGTTATAAATGTTTCTTCTTCAAAAATAGGTACCTTCTTGAAAAGCTATATATTTTTAATATTTGTATTCAAGGCTTGTCTTTACATGTAACTATCTTTGACAGCTTCTGAGTTTTGTTTTTAAAGTAGGTCTTTTACTCTGATGGAATAAGAGATTTCAGTGAGTGATTAGTCTCACCAAGTCATTTAAGTAAGCAATATGAGTAAATGCCTAAGTATTTGCTCAAGAGGCCCAAAGACTTAAAAACACTTAGATACAACTTCATGTGTAAGGGATACTATCCTGGGTGATGGCTGGGTAAATAGTTTCCATTGATCTCAGTGTGCTCACATATATAATTTCTGTCTGCACCAAAACAAAGTCGCAAGGCTGAGCATGGAAGGTGCTGTACCTCAACAAGATCTGGTGCCTGTGAAGCAATTATTGCAGGGACCTTCTTTCTTCATATCATTAATATTTAGTGGGAATAGTGGATTAGCCCCATCCCCAGATTTTTGATGGACAGCTAGTGCATTCCAGTAATAGCCAACAATAAAATGGGGGAAAAGTCCCATATGACTGAAGGCTGCATCCAGCCTCTGGCCGTAGAGCTATCAGAGCCCAATGATAGTTCAAGTGTGAAAACGGAAAAATGAAAAAAGACCAAAAGAAAAACTACAGGAAAATCCAAAAACGTAGAGGACTGAGAGCAGACATTCATGTGCTATAGTTGCTTCCCATGAAATGCAAAGATTGAAGCACCAATTTTATTTCTGTATTTGCAGATCCAGGGTTGGATGCATCATCTGAATAAAACTCATTCAGATCTTGTTCACATGTTCTCTGTTGGAAAATCCTATGAAGGGAGACCACTGTTTGTACTCAAGGTAAAGACTAAGTAGTCGTTAATCAGACTTAAATCTGGCATCAGGGACAGTTTATTACTTATGTTATAGCATGTGCACTATAGAGACACAGGTTAACAGTGTTTCCTAAGGATGAGTTGCTAAGATCTAAATATCTCTCTGGATGTCATCACAGAAGCACAGAATGGTGGGGGTGGAAAGCAACCTCTGGAGATCATCTAGTCCAACCCCCCTGCTAAAGCAGGTTAGCCTAGAGCAGGTTGCCCAGGATCACATCCAGGCGGGTTTTGAGTTTCTCCAGGGAAGGAGACTCCACAACCTCCCTGGGCAGCCTGTCCCAGTGCTCTGTCACACTCAGAGTAAAGAAGTTTTTCCTCATGTGGAGGTGGAATTTCCTGTCCCCCCAGTTTGTCCCTGTTGCTCCTTGTCCTGTCACTGGGCACCACTGAAATGAGCCTGGTCTCATCCTCTTGACACTCGACCTTTAGATATTTATAAGCATTGATAAGGTCCCCTGTCAGCCTTCTCTTCTCCAGGCTAAACAGACCCAGGTCTTTCAGCCTTTCCTCATAAGAGAGATGCACCAGTCCCCTCATCATCTTCGTAGACTGACGCTGGACTCTCTCCAGTAGTTCCCTGTCTCTTGAACTGGAGAGCCCAGAACTGGACACAGCACTCCAGATGTGGCCTCACCAGGGCAGAATAGAGGGGGAGGAGAACAACCTTCCTCGACCTTCTGAACACACTCTCCTTAATGCACCCCAGGATACCATTGGCCACAAGGGCACATTGCTTGCTCATGGATAACTTGCTGTCCACTGGGACTTCCAGGTCCTTCTCCACAGAGCTGCTTTCCAGCAGGTCAGCCCCTAACCTGTACTGGTGCATGGGGTTACTCCTCCCCAGGTGCAGGACCCTTGCTGAACCTCATTAGGTTCGTCTCTGCTCAACTCTCCAGCCTGTCCAGATCTTGCTGAATGACAGCACAGCCTTCCACTGTATCTGCCACTCCTCCCAGTTTTATATTGTCAGCAAATTTGCTGAGGATACACTCTGTCCTTTCACCTAGGTCATTGATGAATATATTGAATAAGACAGGCCCTAATACTGACCCCTGGGGAACACCGCTAGTTACAGACCTCCAGCTGGACTCAGCACCCCTGATCACAATCCTCTGAGTTCTGTCCTTCAGCCAGTTCTACTTGTATATTCCACACCTCGTGAGCTTACCTATGAGGATGTTGTGGGAGGCTGCATCAAAAGCCTTGCTGAAATTGAGGTGAACAACACCCACTGCCCTCCCCTCATCCACCGAGCCAGTTATGCCATCATAGAAGCTATCAGGTTGATCAAGCATGATTTCCCCCTTGGTGAGTCCATGTTGACTACTCCTGATTATCTTTTCCATATTCCACACCTCGTGAGCTTACCTATGAGGATGTTGTGGGAGGCTGCATCAAAAGCCTTGCTGAAATTGAGGTGAACAACACCCACTGCCCTCCCCTCATCCACCGAGCCAGTTATGCCATCATAGAAGCTATCAGGTTGATCAAGCATGATTTCCCCCTTGGTGAGTCCATGTTGACTACTCCTGATTATCTTTTCCTTCACATGCTTAAAGAATGGAGGGATGGAGGTAAGGCTGACTGGCCTGTAGTTTCCCAGGTCCTCCTTCTTGCCGTTTTTGAAGACTGGAGTGACGTTGGCTTTCCTCCAGTCCTCAGGCACCTCTCCTGTTCGTCACAACCTTCCAAAGGTGATGGAGAGTGGCCTAGCAACAGCATCTGCTAGTTCTCTCAGCACTTGCAGGTGCATCCCATCAGGTCCCATGGATTTGTGGGTGTCCTGTTTGCCTAAATGATCTCTAACCCAATCCCCCTCGACCAAGGGACAGTCTTCCTTTCTCCAGACTTCCTCTCCTACCCCCAGGGTCTGAGATTCCTGAGGGCCAACCTTATCAGACTGGCAAAAGACTGAAACAAAAGCGGCATTCAGTAACTCCGGCTTCCCTGTGTCCTCTGTGACCAGGGTACCCACCGCCTTCAGCAGCGGACCCACATTTTCCCTAGTCTTCCTTTTGCTACCGATGTATTTGAAGAAGCCCTTCTTGTTGCCTTTGACATCCCCAGACAGATTTAATTCCAAGTATGCCTTAGCCTTCCTCGTTGCATCCCAGTATACTCTGACAACATTCCTATATTCCTCCCAAGTGGCCAGTCCCTTTTTCCACATGCTGTAAACTTCCTTCTTCCCTTTAAGTATTTCCAGAAGCTCCTTGCTCACCCAAGCAGGCCTTCTGCCTCTTTTGCTTGATTTCTTCCTCGTAGGGATGCATCAATCTTGAGCTTGGAGGCGATGGTGCTTGAATACTAACCAGCTCTCTTGGGCCCCACTACCTTTGAGAGCCCTAGCCCATGGTATCCCTCCAAGTAGGTCTTTGAAGAGGTCAAAGTTAGCTCTCCTGAAGTCCAGGGTTGTAATCCTACTTACTGCCCTTCTTCTTCCATGCAGGATACTCCACCATCTCATGATCACTACAGCCAAGGCTGCCCCAACCTTCACATCCCTGACCAGTCCTTCTTTGTTTGTTAGTATAAAGTCCAGCAGTGCACCTCTCCTCGTTGGTTGCTCCACCACCTGTGCCAAAAAGTGTAATGAACTTTTTCATCTTTAATGAATGGAAAAATAAAAAGCTGGAAAACTAAAAACCAAATCCTATTTACTTGGATTGGTTATGCATGGAGATAGATTACAGGACAAGTTCAATTAGCAGGATTTGGATTTAAGGGAATTGGAAAGTTTTGTGTTTATATACAACTTGGAAAGCAGTTATGCTGGAGAGGGACCCCAGAGGACTCTGGAGCCCTTCTCAGCACGTGCCACATATGCTTCCTCTTTAGCTACTGACAAAATTCCAGGGCTGTGCGGTCTCAACTCACATTATTAGGACCACAAATTAGAGGGTGTCAGCAAGACGCAAAAAAAATATTACTTTCCATGTACTTTTCTTTTCATCTGCTGTTGCAGAGTTCTGAAAATTTGATTCTACACCAGGCTATTCCTGTAGCATCATTTTTTGTCACCCTGCTCCATGTGATTTTTAAGGCTATCATTCCTCATACAAGAGGAATTGACAGATTTCACTTTTCCTGTATCTTTTTTTCCATAGATCAGCTTCATTATCTTGGCATACCTGCATATCATTATCTTGGCCATGCCTTTGAAGACAATAAATTTGTGTTCCTTTATACAAGGAAATTCAAAATGGTTTAGTGTTTCTAATATTCTATTACTTTCTCATTGTTGTGTTTCACTAATGTCATGAGATTACTGATATTTGTATGAATATTCACACTTCAAGTTAGGTAAAAGATCACGGCCCTACAAGAAAGCTGTCTGGATAGACTGTGGAATTCATGCAAGAGAGTGGATTGGCCCTGCCTTTTGCCAGTGGTTCGTGAGAGAAGTAAGTTTAATGATTTACAGTCATGCACTTCCTTCAGTTCAATAAACATTGTGTTTTTCCTATAATCAATCTAACATATTATTAATAAGAAAAATAACTAGCTATTATACCGCCTTTTTTTTGCTTTTTAGAACACTTAAGTGCTTGATAAACAAAGCTGATAGCGACAGCCAGACACAGCTAGGCACAGGACAAAAGATGCTAGACACATATTGGCAGAGATATGAAGTAAGATTTTATTCCAAGACCTAAAAATGTAAAGATTGTAATTCTGACAATGGTCCAGGTAAATCAGTGCCAGTGTGTACTGTACTGCTTCAGATCAGTTCAGCAATACCTTTGCTTTAAGGACTTAGATTAAGAAAGACATTTCTCTTTTGTGTAATTCCATAGGAACAGGAAGCTAAAATAATAAAATCATAGAATACAATCATAGAATTGTTCAGGTTGGAAAAGACGTTTAAGATCATCGAGTCCAAGCTCAGTTCCCTCAGCCACTTCTCCCTGTTCTCCAGGCCCTTCACCAGCTTCGT